CAATGATAGACAGTAACAGTAATTATTATTATACAGTATAATAAAATACATTTAAAAATAAAGATTTTATTCATTATTTTACTATTAATAATAAACCATTAATACATTATAATAATATTGTTGTGCCGGGACGGAACGGAGACAAAGGCGCAGACGTCAGGGTATTGGGGAATATGGGGTTTAATTATAGGCAAGGCAGGCAAAACGCAGACGGACAATACAATGACCGGACGAGGGAAACAAACTGAAACGCGGATGAAATACAGAGGACTAATGACAACCAGAAACAGCTGATCACACGGGGATTCCACACAGGGTTAACGAGGGGGCGTGGCACGTGGATGGAGCGGACGATTGGGGCAGGACACATTGTTTGGATACATTTATCTTCTTACTTTACAAATGACAGTTTTGATAAATGTGCTGAGATGTGTTTAGTACAGTATATGCTCTTTATCCAGTTCATTTTGCGTTTAAATGCTAAAAAAAACATATTTAGGTGTAATTTTTTGGGGCTGGGAACCAATTAATTGGCTTTCCATTATTTCTTATGGGGAAAATTCGATCACGACTTGAACTTTTTAGTATTCAATCTGGAGTTCTGAATGGATTGAATTCAAGTTCTGAGGTACCACTGTATAAATAAATATTTATTTTGATCAATAACTGTGCACTGTACAACAAAGTTTATAACAAATATAAACAAACAATAATAGATAAATGGTTGTGTTGCCAACTGTTGTATGAACAATATTTTTATATAGCTTGTGAATTGCAGTAGATTGGTCCACGTCATATTAAACAAAACTAAACCATTTCCACACAATCAAAGTAGAACCTTTTTTGGAAGTAATTCTTACTTAATGCACACCGTTTATTCAGCAGCCTAGCCAACCCACATATGGACTGTGTGTTGTTTCACACAGGACACAAGTGCAGTATTTTTTTTAGCAGTCATATGGTACAGTTGAGGACAAACTTTAACCCCCCTATGATATTTGAAGTTTCTTCAAGATTTTCCAAAGTGCATTTTTAACAGAGCAAGGAATTTTCAACATAGCATTTCTGAACATATTAGTTTTCTTTAGAAGGAATGATTTATTTATATTTGCACACAATAGCAGAATTATTTCAGAAAAAACAAAAATGACCAGGGACAATAATATTAGCCCCCTTTAAGAAATGCTTTAATTTCACAGGTGATTTAACTTAACAATTAAGTTAAAACTGAAGGTATAAAACTCAGTGTAAAATCCTCAGTAAGGGTCATTCAGCTGTCATTTGAGACAATACATTACATACAAAGTTATGTAATGTATTGTGGAAAGTTAGTGTTTCCAAGTATCAAGAACTGGAGTGAGAAGTATAATCCAGAAATTCAAAGAGCCACACAGTACAGAACAAGCCTGGCAGAGGTACGAAGCAGATGATTTCAAAGATCCTGGAAAGGAAACTAGTGAGAGATGTGTCTAAAGACCCCAGAACAACTGCCAAGACACTAAAGAATGACTTGGCCAAGTCAGGAATTGTGGTCTCAAAGAAGACAATCACTAGAGCGCTGCACAGGAATGGTCTTCGAGGTTGCAGACCAAGAAGGACTCCACTTTTGCAGAAGAGACACCTTCAAGCCAGATGAAAGTATTCTCAGGACAACCTGGAGAAAGATGATGCATACTGGAAGCATGTCCTATGGTCAGATGAGACTAAACTAGAGCTTTTTGGCCATAAAGACACTGCTTATGTTTGGAGAAGGAAGGGAGAGGTGTATA